AAAAAAAAAAATTTCTTGAAGCCAAAAAATTGTAGTATAGACAGAAGAATATACAATGAAATCATTGTAACAGAATAGGCCAAAGTGTAATTAAGTATTATATGATAAAAATGGTATATTTCATATTATTAATGAATGAATTATTCAATATGTAAGGGGGGGCAAATTTATTTCTTTTTATTTGATATAATCAATTTTTTTACTCCCACCATAGATTTGCATGTATATGTTCTAGATTAATTGAAGAACTAATTATAGAAAAGGAATCCATAAAAGAACTTGAAAATCATGTAGGGAAATATGTATATCTTTGGGTGGGGACTATTTTAACACCTAAGGCAGAAGGCTATAAAGAATAAGGCTAACATTTTAGATGCATTTAACATTTTAAGCACAAACAAGAAGAAAATATTTACATCAGATGACAGGTGAAGGGCTCATAATCTATCGTGTAAAACCTAGCTCTGAAATTAGTGAGAGAAATACTCTTAGTAAAACAAGACACAGAGATTAATGTTAGCTCACGGAAGAAATACAAGCACAGATTAAAATAGTCCGCTTTGTTAGTAGCAGAAGAAGTTCTAATTGCAATAGAAAGATGCTGTTCACCTTTCAGATTGGTAAAGGACTTTTAAAACCTGACAATACTCATCCTGGGCCAGTGTCAAGGGAATGGGGCCCATGGTGTGGTGTGGATGGTGTGGCTTTTGTGGAGAGCAGCTTGGGTATGAATAGCTTTGGTCTTGCATATCCACTTCTGGAATGTTATCCCAAAGAAACAGTCAGTCACGTGCACCCATAGGTATATGTACAAGAATATATGTTGCTCCTGCCGTAGGCAAGCATCGCTCAAATTAAAAAGTGGGAAGCAGCCCAAATGCCTAACAGTAGAGAATAAGGTCAATAAACCCAGAAGACGGCACACGGTGCCTCTGTCCCTCCGGACGCACCACCTCAGATGTGTGCTGTGTTTCAGCAAAGTTTGTTCAACAGTGTGACATTTCCTATCCCATTGGACCTCCATACAACCTTGCGTGATGTGGCCACGGGACAGTCAGTGGTTGGTGATTTGTCCAGCGGTACCCACGGCCGAGCCACGGAACTGTGGCCGCAGCCACGTCTGGCATTCTTGGCACTCCAGGCCTTCTGCGTTGCGTTCATCAGCTGGGGATACGGAAAAGATTCCCATTGATGAGAATGCCCCTGATACGCAAAACCATCGGTGCGTCGGCTGCACTGGGCTCCCTCTGGCTTAACCCCTGCCTCGCCTCCCTCTGGCTCCGGGGTTCTCTTACTCTGCCATGGGGAGGAGAGCCCCAGCTGGGTGATCCTTTGCAGGCACCTGTTGCCACCACTGTGTCTCTCTGTGGCTTTGCATTTCTGGGCCTACTGTTTAACCCAGTGCGTCCATTCGCAGCGACGGTTCTCGTACGGGCAGTTTTGTATTATGCTGGGTGCTTAACTCTTCCCCGGGGGAGCGGTGGTCTTGAGCAGAGCAAACGCTCATGATTGTCGAGTATTGTTGGTTTTTCCTTTGCTGAGATAACCCGATGACCTTGGATTTTTCAGGTTTGGGCCACCTTTCCTGATACGGGAAGACAGAGCCATTTCCTGGGTCCAGCTCCAACAATGCATTCTCAGTAAGGTCCGCTATCTCATGAAGACTGAGGCCCCCCTCCAGGTCAGTGTGTGTGCATGTGTTGTGGTGGCTAGAGACGGGGGTAGGCATCTAGGAGTAGCTCGGGACAGACAAGAATTTGCTGTTAATGAGAGCGTTCAGGGGCGCCTAGGTGGCTCAGTCGGTTGAGCATCCGACTTTGGCTCAGGTCACTATCTCACAGTTCATGGGTTCGAGCCCTGCATCAGGCTCTGTGCTGACAGCTCGGAGCCCGGAGCCTGCTTCGGATTCTGTGTCTCCCTCTCTCTCTCTGACCCTCCTCTGCTCATGCTCTGTCTCTCTCTGTCTCTCTCACAAAAATAAACATTAAAAAAAATTTGTTTTAAATAACAAACTCAAAGGCAAAACCCCTTTTGGCCCTGCTCATTTATTTATTCTCAGATTGGTAGTTTCCAAATAAAAACGATATGCGCTGAAACCATTCCTTTTAGCCCCTAGAGTATCAGACAATATTCCGATGGCTGCTTGCAACAGACAATGTCAAAATTTTGAGGGACAGGTCGGGAGCCCCAGAATGTCAATTCCCACTGACTGTTCTGTATGTCAGGACTTCATAATCCGTGCTCCTTCCTGCTCAGGGAAGACCATACATTTAATTCAGGATTTACGTGAAATAGCACTTTGTCAAAGACCTTCTCTGCATCCATACCCGCCTTTATCTCTTAAAGGATTTTTTGTTTTTGTTTTTGTTTTTTTTGGCTCTACAGACTGCCCAGCAGATCTGCCGTGGTGCCCAAATTAGAGATTCTAACTTCTCTCTAAGTAGGTCAGAATCTCTTGTAATGGCTCCAGGTTTCCCCGAACCCTGTGCTCCTGATTTTTGCAAGTGTGAGACCACGTTTATGTGACGGTTGAACTCTGCTGTCTTCCTTCTCCACCTGGTCATACCTGCACTTTGCTTCCGCACCTCTCCGGCCAGTTAGTTTTCAGAAGCCCCTGGGGCAATCAGTGGGGCCAGCAAAATGCTAATAGAGGCAGCCTCGCACTATGGATGCTTTTTTACGGACTCATGGGTACATGTGTGGATGGGCCTGATTTTCTGTAGGAATGACGTGTTCTGAATGGTTGTGAGGCTCCTAGGAGAGCCCATCCGTTTGACCACGTTTCAGCACCATATGAAATCCTGGCTCGGGATGGTGATAATTTGAAAAGAACACATTGAGAATTCTTAACCTTGAGCCAAAGAGATTAAAAGTAGTGAAGGTTCGGGGCGCCTGGGTGGCTCGGTCGGTTGAGCGTCCGACTCTTGATTGAGGCTCATGATCTCACGGTTTGTTGGTTCGAACCCTGCATGAGGCTCCGAGGTGGCAGTGCAGAGCCTGCTTGGGTGTCTCTCCCCCCGTCTCTCTCCCTGCCCCTCCCATGTGCTCTCTCTGTCAAAAAATAGATAAAATAAACTTTAAAAAGAAAACTAAAAAAAAAAAAAGGAAATAATGAGGGTTCTAAAATGAATTTCCCTAGCTACGAATGAAGGACAGGAGAATGTCTTACGGAGATAACCGATCTGGTGGACAGAATGAATTTGTTGGGAGGGAAATTTCTTTGTTTTTCTAGTTACAGCTGAGGTCATCTCTGACCATTTTAAGAACTATATTTGCTTTACTTGGACACTCCATAGATTTTGTTTTTAATTTGTTTTTAATGTTTATTTTTGAGAGAGAGAGACAGACCGTGAGTAGGGAGGGGCAGAGAGAGAGAGGGGGGGAAGGAGACACAGAAGCCAAAGCAGGCTCCAGGCTCCAAGCTGTCAGCACAGAGCCCGATGAGGGGCTCGAACATACAAACTGCAAGATCATGACCTGAACCAAAGTTAGGTGCTCAACAGACTGAGCCACTCAGGTACCACCACCCACCCCCGTTGATTATTTTTAATGGTGGTAAAAAATACAGAACATTTTAACCATTCATGAACGTACATTCGTTATATTCCTGATGTTGTAAGACCATCACCATTATCCTCACCCCAAATTTTCGTCATCCCTACAAAAACTCTGTGCCCATGTAATGACTCCCCAAGCCCCCAGCCCTTTGCCCCCGGCAGCTTCCACCCTGCTTTCTGTCCCTATGAATTTGCCTACTCTACCTATCTCATAAAGCAGAATCATGCAGTATTTGTCCCTCCGTGTCTGGCTTAGAGCCTTTCCAAGGTCCACACATGCTGCAGCAGATGTCAAGATTTCCTTCCTTTTTAAGGCTGAGTAATATTCTATTGCGTGTGTAGACCACAGGGTGTTTATGCACTCATCTGTTGATGGACACTTGGGTTGTTTTCACCTTTTGACTTTTGTGAATAATGTTGTGTTTCATGAATGTTTTAAGACTGCCTTCAATTTCAGAAATGTTAGAATATGGAAAAAAACACCCACGCACCTTAGAATAAAAACAGATGTAGTGTTTCCCTATGTGGCTTGTTTTGAAGTGTGTAAATACTCACTAAGCATTTCCTATGTAAAACAGATGCTAACTGGGGCACCTGGCTGTCTCCGTTGGTTGGGCATCTGACTTCAGCACAGGTCCTGATATCACTGTCCGTGAGTTCGAGCCCCGCGTCGGGCTCTGTGCTGACAGCTCGGAGCCTGGAGCCTGCTTGGGATTCTGTGTCCCTCCGCTGCTCACACTCTGTCACTCTCTCTCAAAAATGAATAAACATTAAAAACTAATAAATAAAACACGGTTCATGGTTTTGGAAGATTTAATGTATTACACGGTGTTAGATCACCACGTTAAAAGGTACAGTGTGTATCTTCTGGAAAAAACAAAGACCTTTGTATCTCTAGGTTTTGAATACTAATTTTTTTTTAATGTTTATTTATTTTGAGAGAGAGAGAGTGTGTGCTTGTGAGTCCGGGAGGGGCAGACACAGAGGGAGGGAGAGAATCCCAAGCAGAGTCCACACTCAGCACAGAGCCTGACAATGGGGCTCGATCCCACAGCCATGAGATCATGACCTGAGCTAAAATCAAGAGTCGGATGCTTAACCGGCTGAGCCACCCAGGCACCCCTTGAATACTAATTTTTAAGGGAATACTCAACATAGACTATAAACAAAAAGGGTGACAGTCTTTGAGTAATTTATTTGCACCTGAGAGTCTCGGCGAAATCAACGTGACGATAAGCCGGTGGCTGTGTTTTTGTCTCAGCAGAACCCGGGGTCTCTGTTCTCCATCCGGGTGGTGGGGCTTTCTCTGGCCTGCAGCTACTTATCCCCCCAGGACAGCCATCCCCTCAGTCACTGGGCAGTTGACAGGTAAGAGGACTGTTCCAGATTTGGTGAGAGAATGAATGCAATTGTATTTGACCGGACTCCTTTGAGGTTCTGGGTTAGTAAATTGATTGTAATCTTAGCTGCTCTTGATAACTTGCCTTCCAGTCCCGGCCACTCGTGTTAGGTCCTTAGACACATTCTGTGTCTTCAACCCATAGGTCTAGAGAAGGGCTGTGATGGCCACTTTGAAGATGAGGGGTCACCGAGGTTCTTAGGGATTAGTTGACCCGCTCCTATGTGTGGAGCTAATGGCCGAGCCTGAATTGGAACCCATTTCCCCCTGAGCAAGAAACCCAAATGCGTTCAGTTAGGTCATGCTTCTGAATTGAGCCTGGATGTCCCGTCTGGGGTAGAGGAGAATTCTGCTCGAACCAAAGAACACTCTGGCTGCGACTGAGGCATAAAGCCGGTGTGCCCACCCCCACGGCCGTTGCCAGGCAGCACCCACGGGCACCGTGATACCGGAGAGGCGCGCTACGACTTTTCTAGCGCGTTTGCTCCTTTTCCCACAGACACAGCGTGGTCCATCCCATCCTTAACTTCCTGGCTTGGTCCGCAAAAGCTGAACGAATCTATAACGTAGACGTGATATTGTGGTTTCCAATAAGAAATAGTAATGGGTCTCGCGACACAGAGCGCAGAAGACCCTTGGGATGCTTTTGGTGGTAACGGCTCCTTTCAACCACACCTGAGTTTATATGATTGAGGTGTCTTCTGGAAAGAACCTAAGGATGGGGCCTGGTTGCCAGGACAAGCCAGTCATGTGATTAAAGGTTGGAACTACTAGTCCCATCCCCAGACCTCCGGGGAGCCAAGAGGGGCTGGAGATGGAATTCAGTCCCTAAGAGCCGATGATTAATCAATCATACGCATGATCGAAGCCGAAAGATCATGACCTGAGCAGAAATCAAGAGTCGGACGCTTAACTGAGCCATCCAGGTGCCCCATGTGATATTTTTTTAAAACACGAAAGGCCTAGGGGCACCTGGGGTGGCTCATTCGGTTAAGCGTTTGACTTTGACCCAGGTTATGATCTCGCAGTTCGTGGGTTTGAGCCCCCACATTGGGCTCCATGCTGACAGCTCAGAACCTGGAGCCAGTTTCAGATGCTGTGTCTCCCTCGCTCTCTGCCCCTCCCCCACTCACACTCTGT